GGGGGGGGGGGGGGGGGGGGGGGGGGGGGGGGGGGGGGGGGGGGGGGGGGGGGGGGGGGGGGGGGGGGGAAGGGGCGCACTCATCATGATTTGCATGCCTTTGCTCTTTGAACCGGTGACCACGCGTCCTCGCGAGGCCGAAGCAGTTATCTCGTTTGGGGTGGGGGTGGGGACATGAATCCATTGCTGGTGTGACTGTGTTAGCATTGCTGTTTTCCTACACCCATGTTGTTGGTTTCGTGGTAAAATTTCCGTTTTCTCAACTATGAAGGCTCATTTTTCACAGCAAGGCACCATGGGTGTGTGGGAGGTGGGCACTCGGTTGTACATCCACTCGAACGTACATAGATATCCTCGTGAGTTTGCAATATCTTGCCCCGTCCTCAAGGCCCCACGCCGCATCCATCTATCCACCATACCTTGTACAGCCGAATACGCCCGGAGCGAGAGGAGAAGCGGTCATGCGTCTCTGGAGGCTACTCCCCCACGTGGAAGCCCGCCTCAGGGCCAACAGCTACGACCTCACCTCGTTCTCTTGGTCCGACGACGATAGCAATCAGAGGGAGCCCAGCCGAGGGAGTGACAACGCCAGCAACGACCGGTGCTCTAAAGAGGGCCGAACCGGCAACGACGTTGTGGAGCGCATGTTTGGGTGCGAGATCTACTGGGGCAGACATCAGGCGGGGGGCGAGGACGAGAAATCTATGCCTGGGGGGATTTCAGGGCCGGGGAAACAGGACGCCAACGGGGGTGCAGTTCCCGAGCGAGGGGCGGGCGAAGACGCAGCGGGGGGCGGGGGGAAGTCCTTCGTGGGGCTGATGGGGAAGGACGACAGCGGGACGTGGGTCGAGTCGCAGAACGTCGACGGCCTCGAGATCCTCGTCAAGGACGACCTCAGGCTGTGGCCGGACAGCCTGTGGGTCAACGACCGCGGCTTCGACCGCGACGGGAACTTCGTCTACGGGAACCAGCGCGACGTGCCCTACAAGATGAGGAGGGTCACCGCCGGGGGACCCCTGGAGTGGACCCTGGGGGCGCGGCATCGGACCGAGAAAACGTACGCCGAAAAAATGTCCGCCATCGGGGTGACCCTGGGGCAGCGGCTTCGACCCCCGGTTCGCGTCGCCGCGCCGGCCGGCACTGGCGGTACCGGCGGCGGCAAACACGCGTAAGTATGTTCTTCACTGGCAGACCACCGGTGCTGGACACACACAGCTTCTCCGTGGGATACTTTTTTGCGCAGAGTCGCTTTGAATGCGGCACCTTCTGGAGCGAAATGTCGTCTTTTTGAGCACGTTTCAAGGAGCAGTTTCGTGTTGGCGAACGAAAATAAAGGCCTCTTCGTCCAGGCATGTCTGATGAGTTGTAATGTAACTATAACCACACTTTTGTTTTGTTTCTGCCATGGTGTTGAGCGGTGTCGTGCCGAACAGAAAATGTTGGTGACAAGGAAATCGATGTTTCCGGCGCGTGGCGACTTTCAAGGAAGGAATCAAGCGCAGTCCTTCGACCGCACTAGTTTCATCTGGCGTCTCAGCAACCTGCTGCCGTTTCTCCAAATAAATGGGAAGACTCGACAAGCTGCAGCACGCAAACGCCGGCCCAGATTTTCTCAAAAAATTAAAAAATACAAGAACTCGGCCTAAAACATGTGGAGCGGTCTGTGAAGCTTGTCGAAGTTTCTGGAAAAGCCCTTTAAGGTGGACTACTGTTGGATTATATGAGAAACAGAGAGACTACAACGGAACGCGCTTCTCGAAAAAATCACAGCCCGTGCATTCGCAACACTTCTACGCTTGGCCACTAGCAAAGCAGCAAGCGCGAGTTGCTACACGGCCACCATGCGCGTAACGGCGGTCGCTGCACATGAAAAAACAAATCGAATGACTCATCAAATAATGTCAACGCTCATAACAGTAGTCTAAGCATGTGCGGTACTATTGGCGACATAAAACCCTCTAGTCCCGCGGTGTTGACCGCATCCACCGACCCAACCGCCGAAGGAGTAGTAACGCCACCATCACAAAAGGCTGAGAGGCCATGCGCCTGCTCGCCGCTGCACAAAAAAGAGGCATCGCCGAAAAGAAGTGCCGGAGCCGCCACCAAGCCCCCTCCCCCCCCCCCCCCCCCCCCCCC